CTACCGTGTATAAATTAAAGTTAATATATAGTTATTTTACCAACATCAGTACGGTCGGTTTAATATCGTTAACCCTCCCTCTATCCTTCACTTATCCCTCCGATTGAGCGAACCACCCATGAGCTCACCGAGACTAGCCGAGGTCGGAGTGAAACATGAGATTATTAAAGGACAAATAAACTCATTTCGTCACAGTGAAATAGAATGATTTTGATTATGCACTAATAATTTGTGGAATATTTCTTGAAATTAGTGAAATGTGACAAAAATCAAATTGGTACTTAGACTTGCTGGATAATAATTGTGGAACCACGGAATTGGACAACGTTGAGGAAAGCTACGGAGAACCAGGATGAGTTGCTTAAATTTTATTATTAATTTTTTTTTATCATTGGAAAATTTGATTTTATTATAAAATTAAATGATTCTTGCACTGAATGTGGAAACAAAAATTGAAGGTTTAAATTTGAATTGTATTTGACGGAAAATTTATTGATTTTATGTTCGTTTGATGAGAAAACTTCTTAATTTGATGGAATTTTGATTTAATTAATTTAAATAAATTTGGGTTTTATTAAATAATAAAAATTCTTTATTATTTCAACAATTCACCCGACTTCGATCCCTAGCTATTTCCGGATGGTAGGCTAAAAATGGGAGAAAATATTACTCATAATTTTTCAGTATATATTTGATTAAATATTTTCAAATATTTACTGCGAAATCATGACGTAACACAATTTCGCAGATTGTGGAGACATCGAAATTCTTTTTTCTCGTAAATGATCGCACTTGGAGCGGTTTGGTCAATAGATTTGAATTCTACACGGAAAAATCTATCAAATAGCATGGGTTTCATGTGTGGCAAGTTGAGCCGAAATTTCGTAGAACCGGGTAATCAATGAACAATAGATGGATCCATGCACATTAACTCCTTTACCCAACGAAGTTGAAACGCACACGTCGGTAAAATCGAATTATCTTTGGTTGGCGAAAAGACCACCCATTAAGTGAATTTATTTCGTCATTTCCCATTTTCGCCTTCAAAATTTTCCTTGGATTATAATTTTCATCCATTTCAGATTGCTTTTTGTATGTTTGTCAGACTTCAAAGAATAAAATTCAGTATTCGTTTTCCATTGCATAGAACGGATTGAAATAAATGAATTTTTCAAATTTAGTCTGTCTGCTGCACTCGATTTTTTAAACATTCCAGAACAAACAAAAAAGAGTGCATTGAAAGAAACATTTTCTTCATGGGCTATTATCCATAATTTATTATGTAAAATGGGTACTTAATTTCATTTTCTAGAGTGTAACGAAAATTGTGAAATGCAAAAATCTGCATCACATCGAAATTGCGCAAATTCAAGGAAGTATGGCTATGGGAATATTCAGACTTTTCAATTTTAGCAAAGTCTCCGCTAAAGGACAATTCCAGGACACTCTTTTTTGTCAACAGAATTCCCCAAAATTTAGGTACTTGGAGAAAACAAGCTTCACATTTTAAAATTCCAGAAAGTTGTCGTAATTCCTTGACATTTCCAGACCAAATTCCCGATTTTCCAGATTTCCCTACCGCTGGACACCCTGAATACATACGTGCACACACGCATACAGACATGTGTTCAAAAACGTGTCAGGGTGATTCTAGGGCTCACGAAACGTCCACAAATCATAGAAATTCCACTTTTGATTTTAGTAATTATAATAACTTCCTTCCTTAGGATCGGGACGTTAATAAAATCCAGGAAAATGACCTTCATTTCTATGATTTACTGAGCATTGATTAGTAGAAATTAAATCTCCTGAATATCATACCCTAGGGTGCCCCTCAGGGGCACCCGTTCCGGAATTTTTGACATACCGCCCCCTCAAAAGACTCGAAATGAATATGTGACGTTTTGAGTTTTATCCGGAGGTAAAACTCAGTGAATATTTCTTTTCCTTCGTACTATTATGTACACTGTCTACTGTGCCTTGCACTTTGCACTACTATTTTATTCCTACACTGTAATTCTCTGTATGGTCACTTAAACCTCGGTTAACTTCGGCGGTGAGCTCACGGGGGATTGTCCAACTGACACCATGGGCATGCTATCCCAATGCCATCATGGGAACGCTGACTAATATCTGGATGGCAGGAAAGAGAAATCACATTTCTTATTCCTCTCATCCAGTATTATAATAACATTCCGTATAATTATGAACTAAATCGACGTATCGGTCGATCCCAATACGTCACAAATAAAAGAAAATACTCTCAAAATTTCAGCTCTCTATCTTCATTCTAAAACGCCCCCAAGAGCATTATTTTCTCATACGAATAGCACGGGAATAACGTTTCCCGTAAGAATAGAACGTTTTTTCCTATAAGAATAATTCCCCTATTGTGTGATATCAATAAAAAACTAAAAATTTCCGTCAAAAGTAGTTCATTTACTCAATAATTTTCCATGATTTTAAAATTTTTAGTGACATAACAAGGGGAGGGGGGAAATAGATTCGAATTTTCCATGAAAATCCCGTGTTATTCTTATGGAAAAAAACAAGGCTATTGAGGAGCGTTTTAGAATCCAGATAAAGAACTGGAATTTGGAAATTTTGGCTCAAAAATTCCGGAACTAATCATAACCCACTACAGAACTTGATTCAGAGGTGAAGACCTAAAACAATTCTCAATTGCCAGATTGCAACTAACTTTTCGCGGGTATCGTGATCCTCTCGCCGCTCAACCGAAGGTTCCCGATGGTGCTCGAGAATTATCGGCAGGACCGATCGTTTAACTGGTAGATTAGCTACGTTTCAAACAAGATCTTCGCCAAGAAATTGATATTTCGCTTCAATCCTGAGATATTGTAGACTCATTGGCAACTGAATCTGAAGATAATTTGTCAATGAATATCTCAGAATATACGGTAGATGGAAAATTTTTTATAAGAGCTTTTGTAGATTCTTTTCTACAAAAACGATTTTTACAAAAAAATTCTCTATTTCCGTTGGATTTCGAAATATTTTTGAAAAACGAATTTTTTAGGAAAAAATTTTATTTTTTTTCCGCACTTTACCTCTGCGTTTCTGCGAGCACCAAAAATAAAAAACAAATTTTGTTAGAAAATTTTCTGAACTTTCCGATGAAAAAAACGAACAAGTAAATAAGGGTTGGGTACGACTCCAAATGACTGTTTGAAACTTTCTTTTCCAGTTTTTCATGCCAAAATATAGGTACATAAAAAAACAATGTTTTTCGAAAAGCTGAAAAAATTTCTGACAAAATCTATGGTTTCAATTTTTTTTTGTTATTCTCAGTAGTTCGTCATTAGAATTCTAAAAAACAACAGTTTTTAGAAGAAAGAAAAATTCAATCTTCAGTAGAGGAGAGTCCAGCAAAATGGGACGTTTCGTGATCTTCTCTAATTGTCAATATTTTCACTTCTAAATGAAGATATTGACAATTGGAAAAGATCTCAACACGTCCCATTTTGCCCGACCCTCCCCTATCTCCGCCAATAATTGAGTCAGAGAGCTCCGTTCTCAATCATTTTTGTCTTTTTGGACTATAATGTAAGTATTTATCAACCCTATAATAATTCAATAAATGATGTTGTGACGACCAGGTCGTCAGACTTGAATATTTTCGTTGACAAAAATCAAATTCTAATTTTCATGAAGACTAAGACCTTCTAAAAATAACGTCTAGGAAACTTCTCTCCTCCATGAAAATCGGGAAAGGAAAATCTCCAATTCCTTCCCTATTCTAATACCCTTTTTTCATCTCTAGCGGTCATAACTTCAAGTCAACGGCCTGAATCGAGAAGAGGAGGTCCTGAGAAATATCTCTTGGGACCAAGCAACATCCAGACCATCCCGTTCAAACTTGTAGGAAGGAGGATTGGACAATGGCGTCGCGCTACGAAGCCCACATATTTCAAATGGGAGCAAAAGGTGTCTTCAAGCAACGATGCCTTACTATCAATCTCAGAATGGCATCAGTCCAGGGTACCCTGACACAAGGAACGACCAGAGGGGAAGCTCCCCCCCATCTGACGCACCGATTCTACAGGAAGTCAGCGAGAGATACACGAGCGATACCCAAATACAGCGAATTTTCACTATAAAAATGATTTAGAATTGAAAATTTCGAAAATTATTATGGACAATATTCGTCACATATTATTATCTTGAATTGTTTGTGAATCTAAATATCTTAAAAACAAAAAAATTTTGTCGACTCTATTGTTTCGACAAGTCCATTGTGCGAGATATTTGGGAGAAAACGTCCCCCAAGGGACACCCCAAGCAAGCAGCCCAAGCCACTCAACCCACGCTTGGGCAGAGTCGTCTCCTAGACAGCGCGAGATGTAGTCGCAAAATTAGTATCGTCTGCCGGATTGGCATTAGTTTTATTTATTTTTCATTAATTTTGTATTATTTATTGTTAAGGCTATGGTCCATCTTGGAAGGAGGTGGTTTCTCATATTTTTTGACAGGTGGACCAAGTCGAAATATTATTAATATTTAAAATGAAATTATATTTTAGTTGTTTTGTATACGAGATCTTGTGTTTTCATTGTGTGAGAGTGGAGGAGAAATCAAACCAGAGAGGGAGTATCGTCCTCCCTCCCCTTTGTAATAAGCAGAGTCTAGTCAAAAAACCTCTGAGCTGCCAGCGACATTAAAATTATTCCAATTTATATACCTTTTCAATAGAGAGGAGTCGATACCCTTGTTTAACTCAAAATTCATCGACTGGAGCCCATTTTAGTGAGATTTAGATTGAAACAATTTCTGTATTTTTTAGTCAAAAATCCTGAAAACGTCACAAAGTAAATGAAAAAAAAAATGCCAGAAAAATCATGAGTGAATAAAGGCAGAAATAAGGATTTTTCTCCCAACCGGAAATCTCTTCGGTTCTTACTTGTATTGAATTATCATGACAATTCAAAAACTGTAAATTGATCAAAATTAATATTAACAAAACATAATATTAATTTACTTACAAGCATTTTGTTCCCTGAAGTTTTTTGAAGACGTCTCCCTGAAATTTCTCCAGCACAAAAATATCTGTTTTCTCTGGTTTCAATCTCTGGCACTCATTCTCCTTGATCCATTGCGGTGGAATCTCATTTTCTTTGCATTTCTATTGGCAGAAAAATCTAACTTATTATCAAGAAAACTTTCTCTCGTAGTTTTCACGACGGACCAATTTTTTGTTGAGCTGTTTTCGAAATATAATACTGAGTCCATAGACATAACCTGCACCCCCCCTCCCCCGCTGTCGTTCTTTCAACAATTAAAATCATGAACCATTTGCAGGGATAATAACAAAGTAGATTACTAAATAAATTTTTATGGAAAAATGGTCAAACTGTATATTTCTTATAACGCTTTTCTTGCACTGCTTACTGGGGTAGTAACCAGGCCACGTTATTTATTTATTTATTTAAAGCCACATATAGCCTATTCGGCTTTTTACGAAGCAGGCCACGTTTCGAGAAACCAAAAAAAAATAAAACAAGTGACAACGTCGTCAGTTGTAACTTGTTTTACTAACTCAACACAAAATTGAGAAACACTACAATTTTTTTTGTGGCTGCAGAACGCGGTTCGCTCACTGCCCCGTATTAAGCAGTGCAAGAAAAAAGCTATTAAAAATCAAAATATCAAACAAATAACGGTACTGAAACAATTTCTACAATTGAACAAAATTATTTTTAAAAACTGTCACGTTTGACGTATTAAAGTAAACATCAGAGTTCACAAACATTCGCATTTCTTCTATGGATTCAGTCCCTCCAAATTCACAGATTTTCAACGGAATGTACCTGGAAAGCTTCCCACATGTCCTCTGAACAATCATCTTCACTTGCATATTGATTAGATATCAAAAAATAAACATTTAGTGAGCCTTCAAAATGACTGGTCATCGTTTTTTTGTTAATATATGTTTCTTTGCAAACAGGCATTCGTTTTTTTTCACTCGTCATAAGATGTCCACGACTTGTTCTTCACTCAAAGACATTAGAATTCATTTGCAACCGATAATCAAGTATTTTTTAATTCAGGGCGGTGACATTTACTCTAGAGACAGTATATAACCTCAATCAAAGAGGATAGACCTGAGTAGAGGCCCGGAACGGGGGGTTTGACTGACTCCAAAAAAGTTAGTTGGTACCTCACGGGAAAGGCGGCGATCCGGTCGAATTGTCGGTAAATGTGAGTCGGGTGCGTGAGTCAGAGATAACAGGAGAGATTGCTCAGGCTTATGGGAACTGTTCGATCAGAGTTTCATAGCGGTGGCGCGCATGAACTAATCGAGAGGCCATCTCTGTGGGTAAAGAAATTTTCATCTATTACCATGGAAACAGTCGATAACAGGGATGCGTTCCCAATCTTAAATCCAACATGAAACCTCCTTTGCATTCACTCATCCGCTTGATTATCCCATTTTCGTTCATACAACTTCTTATTGTCTTAATTTGTAAATTAGTTGATCATAAAGGAGAGGGAGAGAAGGAATTATGAAGTCTTGAGCGAAA